TGGCTGCGCCGAAAAAATAGGAAGAAAATAAAGAGAAAAAGTATAATATATTTTCTAACTATATAGATAGAATATATTTTTTAAATCATTAAAATTCGATTTTTGTGGAAAAATTATGAATCAAATATTTTCCGATAGTTTAAAGTGTCTATTTTTGATATAATTTTTAGAATTTTCCCTTTAAAAATCAATTTATGCGAATTTTTAACAGAAAGTACATTATTTTTAGTGATTTTTTAAGAAAAAAGTAACTTGCTAGAAATTTCATAACTTTTAAATAAATCCGTCAAAATTTTTGATTTTTTGTTAAATATAGATAACAATACGATCTATATTCTGGCAAAAAATAAATTAAACCTCAATTTAAAAAAAAGTTATGATTTTTTTCATAAGGATAAATGAGAAAAAATGGCGACGCAAACCCGCGACGTAGGGCCACATAGGCGCTGCCGTTACGTTGATTACCTACCCATCTTCTTATGATACGGGCCCTGGTTTTTGGTCTATTACATTTTTAAATTCTCACTGACATTTTTTAAATTAAATTAAAATTTTGTTTGTAATACCTTGTGTTTGTTTGTTCATACAAATAAATAAATCAAATTAAAAAATTATATTTGGATTAATAACACATTCAGATGCGGGAAAAAGTGGTCATGACCAACATAAACAAGGCCAATCTGGACAAGGCAAACATGAACGAATCCACCCTGGACAAGGCAAAATTGAGCAACGCCAATCTGGACATGGCAAACAAAAACAAAACCAATCTGGACTAGGAAAACATGAACAAGGCCATTCTGAACACGACAAACATGAACAAGGCCAACAATATAACAAGACCAACAACAAAGCTAAACTTGAAAACGAAATAAAAAAAAGTCTTCTATCTTTTGATCTTCAGATTAACAAAGACAAACAAAATAAAATTGGTGCAGATAAGGAAAAAATAGGTAAACAATAGGTAATTTCGCTTCAAAAAGAAAAATTAAGCCAGAGAAGTAGTGAAGGGAGGGTAATGCTGGATACATTTGTGACCTAGATAATATTTAAATTCAATTATTTAATTTAAAGATGAAGATTTAAAATTAATTTTTTAAATTTTGTTTACTTCAACTTTTATCATTATTAGTTGGAATGGATCCAGAAACAAAACAATCAACGGACCAAGATGTTAGCGACCAAGAAACACAACGAAGAGACAAAGTATCATTGTTACGGAATAAATAATATACTAAATTTTGAATAGGTTTTTAAACAATTAACCGAACAAATTCAACCTTTCCTTGCAATTGTTGGCAAATTAAAACCCTGTGTTGGCATAGAACCTCGTGAGTTAGGTAATATTTGTTTTTATCTAAATTTATAATATAATTTTTCACTATAAAAACTTAATTTTTAAAAATAAAGGAGACCCACAAAATGCGCAAGAAATTAAAAATGTTGAAGGCCAATATGAGCATCTGGTTAATGCATATAATGAAACTGTAGAGGGTTATAAATACATTAAAGACATGACAAAAGGCGGAAAGAAACATTCGGTAAATTTCTTTGGAAAAGGTTGAGTTTTTTCAAACCTAGATTTGTAAAACCCGCGTATTGAATAAATTAGGGATGAAATGATTTTATTCAACTACCTAAATAATTTTAATTTCTCATTTCTAGAGCGGAGTGTCATCAAAGAGACTTCTTGAAATTCTAGATACAATTATAGCTGATATGGAAAAAATTTGCGATTATGTCACAAATCCTTTCCATGAAAAACAAACGATTAGAAACGATGGTAATTAATTGACTTTAATATAATTCTTGTATAATCACCAATCTAAAGTTATGATTTTTTTCATAAATAAGGAGAAATGAGAAAAAATGGCGACGCAAACTTGCGGCGTAGGACCACATTGGTGCTGCCGTTACGACGGTTACCTACAGATACGTGGCCTGGTTTTTGGTCTATTACATTTTTAAATTATCACTGACATTTTTTAAATAAAATTAAAAATTTTATAAGTAATACCTTGTATTTGTTTGTATAAATAGATAAATCTAATTAAAAAATTATATTTTGGATTAATTAACACATTAAGATGCGAAAACAAGTGGTCAGGCCCAATATGAGCAAGGCCAATCTGATGAGGCTAACATGAAAAAGACCATTCTGTAATTGTACAAGGCAAACCAGGTAAGAGTCATCTTCGAGGCTTTTTTGTGGATTGAAGTTTTGCTAGAGTAAATTATATTTTGCTGTAAGTGTTGCGCCCTATTTAAAATTTTAGTAAAAAGTAGGTACCTTGGGCACGGGGATTTCAATTATTTTGGCCTGCGTTCAGGTCTGGGCGGGCGTAGTGTCGGATAGATTAGTGTTTTAACGGATTGAAGAGGATTTAGTATATATACATACAAAGATCTGGGGATTATGGAGGATAAACCCTAAATATACCTTTAATCCTGAACTCTTGAGAATTTTGAAGACAACTAATAAGATTTATTCCTTTTTAAATTCCCCCAAAAATTGCATTTTATTTAATGAACCAAAACTCCGAAACTTTTTCGGTCCAGGAACGGTGCTCTAAGTTTTGTCCGGTAGGGAGCGTATTAGGGTGGATATTTATTAAAAAATACAGGCGCAACTCTAGTAAAAAGCAAATTTTTTTAAAAGTTCTCTTTTCTTTAATTTTCTTTCTTTCTATCACAATTTGTATTTAGTTATTATTATTCCATTTATTATTTAAACATTTTTCTCTGATTTGCTGTTTTTTTATTTAGTTTATTTAGTTTTTTTGAATTTTTATTCTATTGTTTATTTAAACATTATTCGCTGATTTATAATTTTGTTCGTGGGTTTTCGGTGATTTGTATATATTTTTTACTCTTGTGATAAATCGTAGTTATTGGATATAATTAATTTTTTTTCAAATAACTATATAATATCGGAATTTATTTATAAAAAAACAAATTAAAATAAAGGGGGTCCACTTACATATTTGAAAAAAAAGAAATAAAGTCAATACATAAAGTCTGAATTGAGGTAAATTGAAATAGGAATAAGAAATTTTTAAATTGAAATACGAAATTTCTTTTTGTTGTTTTCACCAATTCTTGAATTGATTAGTTAAACATCGGCAGATGCCTGTGTGCGCTTATTGATGCGCATTTTACCCAAATTGGAATAATTTGTCAAAAGGATCTTAAATTAATAAAATTACATAAAAACATTAAAATGGATATAAAAATTTGCTTAAAAGATAACAAAAAAGTTAACATGTTCAATATAAAAAGGCAGCTGTGTAAATTTTTTTGACGCGACCTATGTAAAAGATGAAAAATCGTAAAAATTTTAGGTGGTCTCATAATTCCTTGACAAACTTTAGAATATAAAGGTTGCGCTTATTAATATTATAATAAAAAAATTTTTATTTAAAAATATATTCTAGAATTTCTTTAAAATTTTTTTTTAATATTTTTAATAGGAAATACTGTTTGCCAAACACAACCGTTAATCGATAGGACATATGTCCGATATAAATAAAATAAAATTTTTAATTCGATAATTGTGTCTTGACATGTCAAGAGTAAGCGGATGTTTAAAGGTTGTCAATAATTTTAGCTATCAATAAATTAAAAAAATAGTTTGTCTAGGGGTAAAAAGAAAATATATAACGTCTATCCCTCTCTCGTAAATTGAATGCCTATTCAATTCAACAGAACACGGCACGCATGACGATCGCGTCTGTATTTCTTTAAAAAAGAAGCATTGTTGCTAGTTAGCTGTATTTATTAATTTACTCAAGAAACATTCGAACAACACTTTAATTTCTATTTTAATGCATTAAATGCTTATTTAAACTCAAAATATTTATTAAAGTTACTGCTAACCCCGACATAATCCGACTTGATCGAAGAAAAGCCCATTTAACGGAGAATTTTTAAAATTAAAGGAAAATCGACTGTATTATCTGCTTCCGCAGTCTATTTATATTGGCACGCAGGCGCCTTGTTATCCAATAAGATTTCCAAATATTTTCCAATTCCAACCAATAATTTATTTTCTGAATCTAAGTAAATTAAAGTAGTGAAATAACAATACAATAAAAATACAATTTTTATCTACGTAAGTGAATAGAATTTAACCAATTTAAAGATGAAAATTTACAATTTACTTCTTTTAAATTTTTGTCTTCTTCAATTAATTTTATTATTATTTGGAATGAATCCCGAAGAAGGTCCGTCAGGAACACAATCAGGATGGATTTATCAAGAAGAAGGTTCTGGATCGCAACAATCTGCAGAACTGGAAGTTTGTATTATTGTATCGAATAAAAAATCGGAAATTTTTAAAGGTTTATAATCAATTGACCGAACAAATTGGTACTTTTGTTCAAAACTATGCGGACTTAAACACTTGTGATGGGATCGAAGCTCGGCATTTAGGTAAAATTTATTTTAATTTAAATTTATATAAATATAATTTTAACTATAAAAACAATTTATTAAAAAAAAATACAGACAACTATGACAATGTGGAAGAAATTACCAGTGTTAAAAAACAATTTGATAATTCGGTTTTTGCACATAAAGATTTAATTACGTTTAGGCTTTCTGCGCGCGTGTCCGGAGATCTGGGAAGTAGACAATTGGATAGAGGACAATAAGTGAGTGGACATTTGGGGAATAAACTTATGTTTGCCTATTCTACAAGTATCTATTCCCCAATTGTCCACTATCCAATTGTCCACTCACCAAATGTCCGGGAGCCGTTTCGGGGGCCTAACCGGTAATAAAAATTTATAAGAATAAAAAATATAAACATTTTTAATAGGTGGCTGATCATGACCAATTTAGTCATTTGTTGCAAATATATAGCGACTTAGGTAAAATTTTTTTCTATTTAATTTTATAAATAATGTTTAATTAAAAAATAATTATTTTAAAGATAAAGAAAACCCTAAAGATTCGCAAAATATTACCAATGTTGGAGAACAATATGAAAATTTGGATAAGGCATATAAGGATTTATTAAATGAATCTATTGAAATTAATGGGAATTTAAGTCCGTTTATGGTAGATGGGTGTATCCAATATCAGGTAACAAATATATTAAATTTCTTTATATCTGGCAATGAAAATGTGTATATAAACCGAAACTTGGAAACACCGAGAGTGAAACTAATTAGAGATTAAATGATTCTAGTTAATATATGTAAATAATTTTAATTTCTCATTTATCAGGGATATAATAAGATGGAACAACAAGTCATAAAAAACCTAATCTCCGCAATTCAAAATAATATAAACGAGCAAATCGGAATTATAAATGATATGCAAAAACTTTACGATTTCGTCAATCATCACAATTTTAATCAGGCGATTCAATTTGAAGGTAATTGATTTTGGAAGATTCTTCTTAAAATAAACACATTTATTTTTTAATTTAGTCTAGTTAACCCATCCAAATCACTATATCACGATATCACTCAAATCACTTTCCAACCATATCACAGTATCACAAACTCTATCGGCACCTGCTGATACTTAGTGTTCAATTTTTAATTAAAAATGGCCAATAATTGATGAAATTTTTTTCAATTTTTTGCTTTTTGCATAATTTTTGGGCGCTTATTCCATTCCGCTTTTTTCCACTTTCTCTTGTGCTGACCCCTGATAAGAAACCCAAATGTACCGAGAAAAATTCATTGAATTGAGAGGAATTTTAGACAGATACTTAAAAAAAGTTTGATACCTTTCTATTAGGATTAGATATTGACCCAGATATTTTATTATTAATTTAATGATGAAAATTTACAATTTAATTTATTTAATTTTTTTTCAACTTTTTTATTAATCTTTGCATTAAATTCAGAACTAATTTCAAAATCGGAACAACCAATCGAACTATTTTTAGTATGTTTTTATTATTTTAGAGAATTATAAAATATAAAAAATTTAATAGGCTTTATCACGATTAAGAAGACAAACTCAAAAGTTGGTTTATCAGTTTGAATACTTAGAACCTCTTCCGGACATAGAAGTTCGGAAGTTAAGTAAATAATATTTTTTTACTATAAATACAATTTATTTTCAAAGACCCAAAAAGCAGTGGATTCGGGCATGAAATTACTAATGTTTTAGAACAACTTGATAATTTGCTATATGCATATGCTGAATTAAGTGAGGCTGATAAGTTTGATGAAAGTTTAAGATCAAGTTTAAATGAAAGAAACCAAAACCAGGTAAAAAGAGATGAAATGATTTCATAAATTCCGAATAATTTTAATTTCTAATTTGATAGGACAAAGGAATTAATCAACAAATAAATAAACTGAACGACTCGCGTCAAAAGAGAAAAAATAAGAAAATAAAAATTATAAAGGATATGCGAAAACTTCACGATTATCTTTATGAAAAATAGTAATTTTTAATAAGACTCAATTTTTCATCAATCTAATAAAGACAAAATCATATAATTAAATCAGGGATACTCCTTACCGTAACCTATAATATTGAGATTATGTTTTGGAACATTGATAAGTAATAAGAGGAGCGATTATAATGATATCAAAGATTAAGGATGATAAATAAATTTAATATCCACGATATCCTCAAAATTCCCGCAAGTGAAAGTTTTAAATATTCTAAATGCACTGCCATTATCAAAATAATTTTTTCAACAATGGGGCTATTAAAGGTGTTACTGAAGATGTGAAAAATGCGAAATTAAATTCGGAACTTAAAGGGGCTAAAAGAGCAGAATTTCGCTAAGACGAAGCGTCAGACTGACATCACTGATACATAGCCTTTTATCCTTTTTAAAGGATATGTAGGATAAAGGAATGAATATGAAAAAGGATATTTTATTCTTCTTTACATCCTTTGAAAATAGTTATATTATAACTTGGTTTAATAATGGGAAAATACAGACAGTTTCGCAGATTGAAACCTATTGGGTTTACAATAGAAGGGGGAAAGGAATTCTTGTGATTATATTAAATTATACATACTAGCTTGAGAAAATAAATAAATTTGAATTCTTTTCAGTATAGAACATCTCATTTCTATTCTGGAGCATCGTCAAATAGAAGGTAGTTAATTGAATTTAAATAATCCAATTGAAATAACCGTCCGTGGCTTTTCACTTAAAATAGATATTTCAACTTGGTTAGACCGGTATCTGTTTTCGGATTCACGATATAATAAAATATAAGCGTATTTTCATAAAATGGACAAATTTAGTTGCAAAAATATGTAGAGAAGATCAGCATGGACAAGTTGGAGAAAGTCAAAAAAAGATCAAAACGAAATCAAAAAAGAACAAAAGTAGAAATAGAAATTAGATTTCACTTCCATTAAAGATGATGACAAAACGATTTTTCGGTTATCTACCCTCCACCATTGTACATATTTTTCTCCTTTCAAAATGGTCAAAGGCAAAATTATTAACTTAATTTAAAGAGGTAGCAAATAGCAGGCTTGAACGAGGGTACAGATAATATCTGGACATCCGCGGATTTCTGCTTTCCTCGATTTTCTACTCGATGTTCGTATTCTGTCGGGTGTGTCGGGTTAAGATAAAAGTATAGTCGTGTTTATAGTTCGGTTCCAAAACGGTTCCAAAATGAATTTTATGTTGATAAATTTTATATTTCTCTTTCCTTTCCATTATTTGCCTTTGGCCATTTTGAATGGAGATAGAAAGTTTTTTTTGTGGCTTTTCGGTGATTTGTATATATAATATTTTATTTTTACTCGTGTGATAAATCTTAGTTTTAGATAAAAATAGTTTTTTAATTACTATATAATTTCGGTATTTATTTATAAAAAATCATGGGCTTCTTGTCAAAAATAGATATAAGTGGACCCCCTTTCGTTGAATTCAACGAAAGGGGGTCCACTTACATCTTGAAAAAATGTTTTCTTGTTTCATTTATTAAATTTATCGCCCTAAGGGAGGCCGCTTGGGTTTAGTTTTTTGTAGTATAAAACCTAAAGTTGTAAATAAAACTTAAAGAAATTAGCCAAAACAAATATTAAGTCGATTTAAGCTCTTGATAAAATTCAAGTTAAATTTAAATCATTTAATCACAAAAATAGAAAGAAAAGAAAGTGTAGTTAAGAAAAGCTGATAGGAAAATCCATTAGTCATATCATGAGCTTATTAAAGCATTTTACCAGTTATAAACTTAGTGGGACGAATCCGCGTGGGTCGAATCCGCGGTTTTTGTTCAGGCGGGCGAATCCAAGGCTGTGGTGTAAAGGACAACACATCAGTCCGGTCTACTGAAAATGCTAGTTGGATCCATATATGGATGCTAGTTGGATCTTTATGCCGTTGGATCCATATTTCGACATATAATTATCTACTTTTAAAATATTATTTTCGATGTTTATTGCCCAAAAATATGCTGTAAATGTTTGTTATTTAATTTACCACTTTTAAAATAATCAAAACATTTCACCAAAACATTTACATTATCTAACTTTATTTAAAACATTCCCTCAAAACAAACATTTACTTTGATTTTCAACTTCCTCTCATTTATTTTAAATTTATTCTTTTCTTATCAGTTTTTACAACCCACTCATTTAACCTTCTTCCGAGCATTCCTTAATTATATAAATACTTATTTGTTTTTAAATTTCAAGCTCATCTAGATCACACTTGCTACCCAAACTTAAACCAACCTTAAATAAAACTTGTATAATTATTGTTTGAGTTGGATTTGTTGAATATAAGAAGAATATTTTAATTTATTTAATATAGAAGAATCGAGACACAATACTAGCTAAAGGAGAGGAATAGCTATAGCCCAGCTACTTTGCTAAAGTCACTTGATTTACCTGTCAAGACATGCCTTGTCAATTTTAGCTCAATGTTTGTTGATGAATTGAAAAAGATAAAAAATAAAGGGCAATGAGCTTATATGCGAGCCATGAACTTATGAACTGTCCTATGAAATAGTCTCACGAACTTTATACGCCCTTTTAAAGTTAAATTCTCGTCGGCTTAAAATTTAATGACAAATTGAAAAGATATTTTGCTAGGGGTAAAAAGAAAATTTATATAAATGAAAATATCGCCATTCAAGGCGAGACTTTCGTAGCGCCTATGTAAGTTACGCCCCCATTTAATTGGCTTTAAAAATAGAAGCAACTTGCTTTACTATTCATTTTATTTTATTCAATAAACTATTTTGGTCGGATATGGGTTTAATTTTAAGACACTTTAAAAGTTTAAATATGTATAAAAACAATAATTGGTATTTTAGGTATCACTCCTTTAATTTTAGTCTCAGAGATTAATAGGTAAATAATCTTCTGAAATTATTCATAGCTCAATTACTTGTAGCATATTCAAATGAGACTGTGTGGTGTACTAATTCCAGTTTTAATGTTTTTCTTGGAATTTTTGTGGAAAATTTTTATAACTAGTTTTTTTCCACAACGGTTACCATTTTACTACCTCCAATCTCTAAGCAACTGAGCGAATTATTTCTGGGTTCCGGACCTACGGACAGTTGATCTGTTTTTTATTACACACGGTATTTGATTCATTATTTAGTAATTCTGCCCCAGTGAAATCATGTCCGATGGTAGATATGTAGAATTGTAAAGTAGACTTGGATACATTCTAAATCAAATGCAATATTAATTTAGAAAATATTTAAATTGTAGTATTTATTTAATTTAAAGATGAAAATTTACAATTTAATTCTTTTAAATTTTTATTTTCTTCAATTGTTCCCAATATTATTTGGAATGTATCAGGGAGAAGGTTCTTCAGGAGCACATTCAGGAGGGATGTATCTAGGAGAAGGTTCTTTAGAATCGCAGCTAGAAAAGATGATACTAGAAGAAGATATGGAACAAGAAAAAGTTATAGACCAGCAGACATCAATGGAACAAATTGTTTGTTTTTTTCTTGAAATTAAAAAATATAAACAGTTTTATAGGCTTTTAATCAAGCAGTAGAAATATTTATACCTGAATTTGAAAATTTTGGCAACTTAAAGCGTTGTCCTAGCATCGAAGCTCGTCCACTAGGTAATTTTTTTACATAAACTTATAAAAATATAATTTTTAACCAATGAAAACAATTTATTTTTAAAGATAAAAACGACCCTGACTATGTGAAAAAAATTAAAAATGTTAGAAAACAATATAAAAATTTGGTTGCTGCATTTAATGTTTTATTAACGGAATCAAATGAAATTAATGGAAATTTAAGAATGTTTATAGATGATCGTGAACAATATCAGGCAAAAAATATTCCTTTATAAAATTTGTTTTTAAATTATTTAAGAGTGGGGGAGGGGGGGGGATCGTTTTTACCAAATCGCTACGCGGAAAGCCTCGAAATTGAAACTAAATAAATTAGAGATGAAATTATTCTATCCAAAATAATTTTATTTTAACATTTTTTAGAAATTCGACAAGGCGACACAAAAAATTATAAAACAAATAATATCCGATATTCAAAACAACATAGAAAAGAAAATCGGAATTATAGAAGATATTCAAAAACTTTTCAAGTATGTAACACGTCATGATTCCAAACAAGGTATGGGTAATTAACTCTAATATAATCCATTAACATAACTAGGGATGGGATTTACTTTCATGTATTTTTTATAGATATAAAAAGGAGGATTTCTGAGTTTAGCCTTCAGAAACTCACTGAATGTTTCCCTTGGCGTTTGTTATTTACCAGGCCCACGGAAAAATTTTGAAGCACCTCCGTGTTGTTATCAACATTTTTATTTTTTATTTAGGTTGTAACATAAGTTTTGATACCCGAGCATGTTTTTCGATGAATACTTGTATGGATATGGATGTTCTATATACCATTCGAAAGCTTAATTCGTATCTCGTTTGACATGTTTCAGCGTTTTTTAAAAAAATTTAAAATTTCTTAGATATACACTGATAAATGAGATATGGTCGGATATGCCAAATCCGGATCCGGCTAAATAAATTTTTTACAAAAGATGAATTAATTTATTACTATTCCGTGGATTTTTCTGAGTTAGGATAAAAAAACAAAATTTAAAAATTTTGTGTCTGAGCAGAGATATGATTTTTTGAAAATCACATATTTTTTAACATTTTTGTCAAAAATGTGACAAAATGAGAAAAATTGCTCTTAGCGACCAAATAATTTTACAAAAAAGTGAAAAACTCCCGTTTTTTAAAAATTCATATCTTGGGTTAGGAAAAAGATTTGTCCCTGATCTTTTTTGATTCTGGCTTCTAAAATTATTGTGAATAATCATTTTATGTTAGATCTTTTGTAAAAAATTTATTTAGCCGGATCCGGATTTGGCATATCCGACCATATCCCATTTATCAGTGTATATCTAAGAAGTTTAAAATTTTTTTAAAAAACGCTGAAACATGTCAAACGAGATACGAATTAAGCTTTCGAATGGTATATAGAACATCCATATCCATAAAGTATTCATCGAAAAACATGCTCGGGTATCAAAACTTATGTTACAACCTAAGTATTTTCCAGACCAGGTAGGCGTAAAATACAGCTGCGCATATACCGTATTTATTCTAATAGAATGTTTGCGATTCTATTATTCAACACCCCTAAAAATGAACCATTTAATTGGAGAGGACATTCAAGTGGAGAGGCATTTAATTAGAAAAATTAATCCCTAGCTATAACTAACATAAAATTTCTTCTTAAAATAGTTAAACATATTTTAAATTCCAGGTTCCGTTATTGCAGGTTTCAATATAGGAAACAGTGGTAAGTAGTTTTAACACTGTCCCCAAAAATCGGGAAATTTGAGACTATACTTAGGTTGAGTTGGATAACTTACTAATCTAATTAAAGCCTTGGGCGTCTATTTATCAATGGGTCAGTTTATTATATTAAATTTGAGCTTCAATAGAGCCGGCTCTAATTTCTGTACTTTAGTATTTATTTAAAAATAAAAGTTTCAATTTAATTTAATATATAAATTTTTGTTTTCTTCAATTTTTCATTTATATTTGATTGAATTAAGGAGAAGTTTCAGGATCGCAAGAAACAGATGAATTAGACAGTGGGATTGTATGTTTGTAGTAGGGTAGATCCTCAAGACCGAAGAGTGGGGATCTACCCTAGTTTGTATTATTGTAGCGAAATAAATTATAAAATTTTTATAGGCTTGCGTTGCATTAATAAAACAAGTTCAGTATTTAGTTGCAGGAGAATTTGGCAACGCAGTGCCCTATGAGGGCATAGAGCCTCGAAAATTAGGTAATATTTATTTTTATTAAGATTTATAAAAAATAATTTTTAACTATGAATCCAATTTATTTTTAAAATAAAGAAAAT